CGAACCTCAGCCTGGCAACGCCATCCTCAAACAGGAAAAACACTCCGGGCTGAAGCTTGTGCGACACGACACTTGGCCGTTGCCAGGATGTTGCCCCTGCCTCTGACATCCACATTGACCTTCATGTCCGACCAAATAATGTCCTCAGCAGCTGCCCGAGGAATGTTCCCGCAGCTCAAGGTAAGCGTCGGTACTTTCTTTACTGGGAATCCAAAACCGCGGCATGGAATGATAACTTTGCCGTTGGGGCCGTTGGGATACAGTTCTTTGATTGTTTTGCCTTGCGAGTTCTTCTGTTGAACAATTTGAAAGCGAGTTGTTGGGACGATCTGAAGGAGACTGCTCGACTAACAGCCAAATGCTTGCTGAGGCATGGACTCACGTCTTGAGTGGATTAGCCGAAACGAGTCAGAACTACTTGTTTCAGACTAGCAAGAAGTGCAGACCGATACAAACCATCCAGAAGGGGAGAACAGAGCAAGCATATCATATTGCCGCTCATCCCTTTCAGAGTCAACCAGACCGAGCATGCTGCAGGAGTCAGTCTTCCATGGTAGAGGGGTCTTAACCAACCTCAGCTGACGTCTGTCACACCAAGCCTCAAGCACCTCCAAAACAGAAGTGCAAGTGGGCGGCTCGCTCCCTGCAAGCCCAGCGCTCAGCCAGCTCTTTTCACCCGTGGGCTTCCAAGCAGGTGTGTTCGGAGGGTACCCTCAAGCCCTCAAGGGTGTTGTGACTTGAAGAGAAGCAGAGAAGCTATGAAACAGGTGTTCAAACGCCAAGCATCTGTAGGAGGCGGCGGCTGCGACACCAACCACTGCGTGCGGTCCGCGCACATCTTCATGCTGACCGCCACCCTGCGGCCAGAAAACTTTTTCCCAGGCGGAAACGAGCGCAGATTCACGAGCAACAAATCACCATTGCGAACCTAGCGAAATGGGGGTTGGGGGGGGGGGGCGGGGGGGGGTCACCAACTTCATCTTCAAACTAACAATTGACAATTACCCTCCCACCAATGCAAATGGAACCTTTCCCTTTGAAAGGAAAACTTTCTTCCGGGACCCCGCTGTCAGGTTCCATGCCAATTGGTGGGAGGGTAACCACCAAGAATATTGTAGATGCACGACTGTTCATCGAATCCCTCATTTAGGCTGGACACGGTTGCCTTGTCATCTGGAAAAACAATCAAACGAATACCCATTCCCTTTTGGGTTGCTATTCGGAGAATATGAGACTACACGCTGTTTAGCACCCATGGTCCAATGGTCGCCATAGAATACTTGCGATGACAACAATATGGGAGAGCGTCCGAAACTTCCTGGCTCGGCGTCACTTGTTTGTCAGACTGCGCCTGATAAAACTACTGGAGGAGCTTAACAGAAACATGAGCGTTCAATGGTGCCGCCGTAATTCCGTCCACTCATATCATTGCTGGAATTTGGGTCATGGAAAACTACCAACCCGCCCTTGGGTCCTTGGGCAGGGCCCTTTCATTCACTCCAGCCGTCCAAAACGGAAGCACCGGCTCAAGGAGGACTTTTCGATTCGACATGATTGAGTTGTCTTGTTGTTGTTGTTTTGACTTCTTGAAGTTTGACTTGTTGAATTGTGGGTCATCTTTTGGCTTCCCACATGTTGACAACTCAACTTGACTTTCGCGACGCTCCGGCGTTTGCACCTTTGGGATTCTGACTGCGCTTTCCTTTTTGGTCTGCTGTATCTTTATGCCCTGCCTTGTTTTTTTGTGGGGGTTCGTCCAACACTTAGACTGTCTGTCCACCAACGCTTCACAGTCTTTGCATGCTTTCAAAGGTTCCTCATTACACGCATGGGGTGTTTGTTGAAACCTAGCCGTGCTGATTCACTCCGGATGCCATGACACACATGACTTGCACCGCGAAGGGCAGTATTTCTTTACGAAATTAGATGGTGTGGGAATTCCAGGTTGACCTGGCTTCCAGCTGACGCGCAGGAAGACACCTTCTTGTTCGTTTTAACGACTGACTACTTGAACAGGAACGAATAGCCAGGTTGAAGCTCTGTCGGAGCAAAACGACACTGTGCTTGGCTCGAGGAGATCGACCGAGGCCAGCCACAGTGATCACAAGAAGCATCCCTCCCTGTGCTCCGGTTGAACGACTCCGGCCTGGCGTTCCGGGCGTCCTTGAACGTCAGGAAACCGCTGTGGCTGTTGACCCCCCCCACACCTCCGACTCTCCGACTCGATGTTTCGGGCTGTGCGAATTGATCCGGCGGGTTCGATAGCTCATTTTGAGTGTGGCTCCCTTTGCTTGAGGATACCCATGATACCCCTTTTTCCTTTGGTTCCAAGGGACACCACCTGGGAGACCACCATTTTGGGTGGTCCCACTATTTTGACAGGCAAGACTGGCTGCAGGTCCTCCAAGCAAATCTTGGGGCCCAATTTCTTCATGACTCGCGCCAGCTAAACACAATTTCAGGCAGAAGAAGAGCGTCGAAAGGAGTCTGAACGTGTTGT